GATGACCCGTAGGCTATAGATGAATAGAATCCGAGGTGAAGTGAGTTTCATTCTGATTCACCTGCATCAATACCTTGTCTCAAGTCGAGAGGAACCAGCTAATAGAAAATGCCAGGACAAGCTTCACCATGGCTAAAGGAGCTGTTATTAGCATACAAGAGAATAGAAAAATGGAGGGAAATTTCCAGAACTCAAAAGGAGCATTGGTGCTGTTACTTAGAATCCAAGCACAGTGTTTGCAATCGGGCTCAAACAAGATACACACTGGCCTTAATTAAACTAGCTTGGATTCGGCCGAGAGTACTTACCCTTCCAATGATTAGACGAAATTGAGAACCTGTTGATTCGGCCTAGCTTGTAAAAAATAAAAGTTAGCATTTAGATGGGGATTTTTTTATAACTAAAAGGGAATTTTTTTTTTTTAAGACATATTGATTTACGCAGATTATTTGAATGGCTAACATATATATTTTATGGAATAGTAGCAAAAATCTAAACGCAAAAGGGATTTTATTTTCGTGTTAGACCATGATATGATAATAGCTTAAAATAGAATTGATGAGAGATCTACTTGTTAAATTAAATTTAAATTTTTTTAAGTGATTTTTTTAATAATTTTTTTAAAAAGAGTTGCTTCGACGCTTATTGTACCATTATATCTTCTAGAATTAGACCTATAAATTATTGTCTTGATTAATTTTGTTATTTTTTTTTAGTTTTTTGAATTTATTATCCTAATTTTCTTTATACTTTGAGAGTCTTAATTGTTTTTTTTTATAGATGTAGGATTTTCTAACTTATTTAAAACATCTTGTAAATATTTTAGAAGGAATACTTCAATAGCTTTATTTTGTTGAGGAATAAATTACAAATTTACAGCTAATATCTATAATCATTTTCGCTTATGAAATTTTCTTGTCCTTTAGGATGCAGTTCTTCTTCTTGCACTACCTTATTCTTTCACATCATTCTTTTCCTTTTAAATAGAAATTGTGAGGAACGTGCAACACATAGGCCTCCAAGGTAGAGTGACCGGGGTTGTTTTAATATTTTATTTTTTTTAAGTACTGTTATCATATCAAGCATAAAGTCAGACAAAAAATTTTAAACAAAATAAGCATAATATTTGGACCACACTTAAATTGAAACAAGGTGTTCTACGTTGAGATCGGGAAGACTTTTAAATTATGGTTAGAAAATATTTTTAGTATTTTCTTAGATAATTTTAGAATTTTTAAAACTATTGTAGGTTTTGTATTCCTTCCCAAATTAGATTTGTTTAGTGACTATTTAAACAATTATAAGTTATTTTTAGAGAATCATTCTTTTCTTTTTAAATAGAGATTGTGATGAATGTGCAACATAGAGGCATCCACGGTGGAGTGAACATCTTGTTTTAATATTATCTTCTTCTTTTTTTAATAATACTTTTATCACATCAAGCATAAAGCATAAAGTTTTGGTCCGGTAGATTTTGAAAAAGGTGAGCTGTATATTTGGATTTCTTGCATCAGTACATGGAATATAAAAATTTAGACAGGATGTTCTACATATCTTATACCCTATATAACTAGATAAGTTTGAAAGATTTTCGAATTAGGATTAGAAAAATATGTTTTTGAATTCTTAGTACTTTCTTAGATAATTTTAGATTTAATTTTTTTTTTAACTATTTTAGGGTTTCTTTACCTTTCCAAAGTAGATTTGTTTAGTGCCTGTTTAAAAAATTATAAGTTATTTTTTAGAACACTTTTTACCATATTATTTTTTCTCCTTGTGTGAGAATTTAAGTAACCTTTAGGGTTATCTCAAGTCCTCGGTTTTCCATCTTTCATGATTTTCCTTTCAATTCTAACTACAAAGTTCAGGTTGTGTGAAGTATGTCATTTATAATTTATTTATTTTTGTATGTCATAAGTATTTTAAAAAATTAATTTTTATTTTACTTTTTCACTTTAAATTATATTTTTTTTAATTTTTTGATGTACTAATATAAAAATAATATTTAAAAAAATAAAAAATATTTAAAAAAACAATCATTGATATGTTCTCGAACAATAAAAATACATAACTTCAATAATTACAGACAACTCTAAAATTTTCAAGAATACTGAATCTTCAAAACCACTCACCCACCGTATATAGAAAGAATCGTTTTTTTTAATTTGTGCTTAGCAAATGCTTACTATATTTACCACATCATTGTGGATATATTGTCATGTTGGAATGGAAGTGTTTATTTACTTAAAAAAAAAAAAAAGGCGTTTCTTTTCGTTAGCGTTATGAAATTATGCATCTATTGAAAATAATTTCATTATTTAATGATAATTATGCAAATAAATTTATATTTTTTTTCTTGTTATACAATGATTATAATATTCAATATAATTTTTGTTTAACATGGTTAAGCCATGATTATATAAAATTGCTAATTTAGACTATGATTTTATTTTTATTTTCCTAACAATTGATAAGAAAACAACAATGTTTCTTACATAAAATGTATGCATAACTTCACACAAAAAAATTGCATTCATGAAAAAATATATTGTAAATTGGATGTAACACTCAATATTTAATACTTATTATGCAATGAGAGTAAATATAATTATATTTTTTACAAGTTAATTTTTAAAGATTAAAAACACTATAACTGAAGAGATATTCAAAATATTTAATTTTTATTCATCCGAAACTCCACTTATAAAAAACTATCATGACCTTTCATATATAAAAAAAAATAGAAAACCACAGTAATATTTAATTTTCTAATACTAAATAAAAAAATAAAGTAGCAAAGCTATTCCCTAAAAAAACATAAGAAAAATATAAAATAAAATAAATTAGAAAAGAAAAATATCTATTTTTTCAACAAAAAAAAAAGGTCCTGCATCAACTTGTTTGCATTGTAAAAAGTAATTTGTTTTTTAACAACAGTAACCCACTTTAGTTTCAAATTATATTGCCATGTTTGAAATGAAATTATTTATTTACTTAAAACATTAAAAAAAAATCATTTTGTTAGGTTATGAAATTGTGCATAATTACTAACGATCGATACTTATGCAACTAAAAAACAATTTCCCTTCAAATAGGATAATTAAGTTATTTAGTCTAACCTTTCGCCTAATTACATACATTTTTTCTTCAAATAGGATAATTATTCTAACTTAGAGATATTCTTTATTTTTCTTCCTAGAAATTGACAAAAAGAAAATGTTTCTTATATAAAATGTAAGCATAACGTCTGAAAAAACTCACTTGTGATAATTATGTTATTTACTTTAATATTTGACTAACATAATTAAACCATGATTTGATAAAGTTGCTAACTTAGAGTATGATTTTATTTTTATTTTCTTGGTAAATATTGAAAAAAACAATGGTGTTTTTTTATATATAAAATGTTATGTATAATCTCGAAAAATCTATATTTGATCATGAAAAAATATGATGTGTAACCTATCCATTATTTTTGTTTATTAAAAGCAATTCATTCCTTAACTTATATTGCCATGCCTGAAATCTAACTATTTATTTACTTAAAAAGAAAATAAAAGAGCGATATGGAATTGTGCATCTCTAATTGTAAATAACCTCGTTATTTAATGATAATTAAGAAAATAAAAAAAAGTATCCTTTTTCTTGTTATTTAATGATTATAATATCTAGTGTAATCTTTCTTAACATGATTAAACCATTATTAAATAAATTTGCTAAATTGGACCAAGAGTGTTTTTTTTCCCCTAACAATTGAGAAAACAACAATGTTTTTATATAAAACATCTGCATAACGTTTGGAAAAAAGGGACTCGACACAAAGAAAAAACAGTAATTTAGTTACACTTGTTTTAGTTCCGGTCCTGAGCTGATATTTAAATTAAATTTTAAAATTATAATAATTTTTATTTTAGTTTTATATTGATTTAGTTTAATGATTAACATGACATATGACTTAAATTTTATCCCAAGTCGACTCTCAAATTGAATTTTAAAATTATGATAATAACCCTTGTTATTTTTAAGTTGACCCGGGTTATAGTCAACATGACCAAAGCTTGGCCCCAAGTTAACTTCTAAATCGAGTTTTT